CCAGTTTAAGAACAAGTTCTGTTCCCAAGATCTGTCCTTAAGTTGAATTTGTATGTAAGCCAGAACAGTATTATTCTATAATACTGTATGAGTAGCATTGTGTAATGAACTCAAACCATTGTGTATTTAACTTGAATCATTGTGTATTTATCATGAATTTTGCTACAGTAGGCTCCATTCTTAACTATGGGTCGTCTGTAACCTGGGCATTACCAGACTATGGGTCGTCTGTAACCTGCGGATTACCTGTACAACAGTTGCCATAAAGTGAACGGTGTGGATGAGCACTTGGGCTTCCTTGGCTCAAGTCACATCACCCCACCCAGTGATAGGAGACAAGCTGGCCTTATTCTTGCCAAGAGATGATAGCATAAAGAAATCTAAAGGGTATGTTGTGATTTGTGTTGTGACATTCATGCAGTATTTTAACATATTTATCATAGTCAAATAGTAGGCAGTTATTGCATAGCAACTTTATATAGAAATGTGTGGTATTCTTTTTATGTGATGAAAATTGGTAGCTCCTGATGGTGTAGTCATGTGTATTGAAGGTATTTTAAGACAGCCTTGGAAATAAAACCACAGGGATTACTAAGCTACCTGGTTGCCATTTGTTGATCTTCAAGAATGGAAATGGGAAAAGTTCCAGCAATCCACATTTTTTTTCTGCTGGCATAGAGATGACTTTTTCTTCTGCAGGTCAGATGTTATTTAGCTTCCTGCAAGGTTTCCATATTTTTTGATGGAGTAAAATTTTTCGTGAAATAGAAATCAAGAAGAATTCTGGAATTATTTTCTTAAAATACTGAAAAAGTTAATGTGAAGTTAATTAAATTTTAAAAGCTTAATATTTTACCTAGTTTGGTAAATGATGGTTATGTCAACTAACACCAAATAGTACACTGCAGAGAGGCATATAAGGTACTATGGTTGTACAGGGTGCCATGAAGAACTCTAAGATACATTTTCCCTTTATATAGAGAGTTGAGACCAACATTCTCCTGGGAATTATTTCTCTGGGTTCAGCGCTCTCATGGAGCTATTGTAAAGTGGAATTCTTGGTGTCTTGCCATTTACCTCATTATACACCTTGCAGAATGACAATGTGGTGTTGTGATGAGGACGTGGGACTGGCTCTGGGAGACCAAGGTTCTAGTCTACCCTCAGCCATTAAAGTTCACTGGCTTAAGTTAGCCCAAACTACCTCACAGGCTTGTGGTGGCGTAAAATAGGAAAAAGGAGCTCTGTATATACAGCCTTGTGTTCCTGAACAAAAGGTGGGATATAAATCAAAAAATAAATTGTGGTGTGCCATACTGCTGCAGCATTTAGCAAAGTATTGGGGTTGAAGAAGCCCTGGTTGTCCTCCCAAACTCTGCTATCCTCTGCTCCCTAACACTGCTCTCCTCCCAGAGATGCAGCAAGGGTGATTATTCACAACCTCAGCATATTTTCAAGAGCTGTTGCATCCTGGCCATGGCACAGTGAAAGTAAACAAGACAGCCCTAAAGAATGAAAAAGGGAAGTAAATGAATTAAATTTATCAAAATATAATTTAACAAAGCATGTGCTTATATTGTATTTCTCAATCAGGTTGGTCAAAATATCACACTGCACTACAGTATATCTCAGTGTTTTAATTTATTTTAAAGAATTAATTGGAATATTATACTCCATTTTTTGTTTTAAAGATACACTGATTATTCATATGGCATCTATTACTGAAACCTGGTTGGGCACAGAGGGAGGGGTTCTCCTCTCAGAAATGTCTTCTTTCAGATGAGATTCTGTTTGTGAAATTGGGCCTTAGGAATTAGTGGGAACTGTTGCTTGCCTACCTTTCTCCCTGTGGCATTGCAACGTCCCTGCCTGAGCTCTTCAACACTGTGGCCAAGTTGGTGACTTATGGTTCTGGAGGACTTCAACCTGCCTTATCTGGGCCCAGAGTCAGAAATAGCTCAGGAGTTCATAACCACTGTCACAACCATAGTCTTGATCCAACTTATTAAGGATTCAGCTCACAGTGGCGGTCACACATTAGATCTGATTTTTGTTTCAGAGCAGTAGCATTGTGATCTGAGGTTGAGGGATGTTAACATAGCCAGCCAGTGGCTCTGTTTTGGGTGAGGAGGAACCCTTGCAGTTTCACTGTGGATACTGTTCTCAGCATCTGTTGAATAAAGTCACTTGACTTTACTCTGAGTTGGACTGTGGCTGGGCAGGTCCTGTGGAAGTGATGGGGGTACGTATTACCTTGGTTATTTGGGAAGAGTTTGAGCCAGTCAATCCTGAGGAAGTGGGCAGGGTCCTTGGTGCTATGAGCTCTGCCACCTGTGTTCTGAACCTATGCCCCTCCTGGCTGGTTAAGGTCTCCTGGGAGGTGGCATGTAGTTGGGTCCAAACAATGGTTAATACCTCATTGTGTGTGTGGGGGGGGCTCTACCTGCTTTGATAGAGGTAGTAGTGCACCCCTTTCTCAAGAGACCATCCTCGAACCCCAGAGTGTTAGATAACTTTTGTTCTGTCTTCAGCCTTCCATTTTTGTGGAATGTTGTTGAAAGGATGGTGGGTGCTTAGCTTCAGAGGTTCCTGAATGAAGTAGCTTATCTGGATCCTTTTAGTCACAATTCAGGCCAGGCTGTAGTGAGATGGTATTGGTTGTATGTGTAGATGACTTCTAGAAGGCTCAGGATAGAGCTGGTACATCCATCCTGGCCCTCCTGGATCTCCTAGCATTTGCTAGGATAAGACTGGAGCCCAGCAAATGTATGGGGGAGTGCTTTGGGGGGAGCAGTGTGAGATGTGGGGTTTTTTTTACTGGTAGTATTATTGCCCCTTTTTATGTTTTGTTGTTGTGAGCTGCTCAGCATTACTGCATAAAAGATAGGCAGCCATATTAGTACTGTAAATGAATAAAATATATTCATAAACAAAGTATTAATGTCCTTATATTTTTTTAGGGAAATCATATTCTAAAGTATATTATGCAAAAACAACACTCCTTTCAAAGAGTATTGTCTCTGTCATGGATAAGTATCATATAGGGGAATCTGAAACTGATTTTGGGGTGTAGAGGCATATGAACTCAAAATCCTTGGCTAAGTTGCTTCTGCTCAACCTGCTTTCTAGATATGTGCCTATTAAATGGGCTCATTTTTGCAATTTATATTTGTATGGCAGACATTGGAAAGAAATCTTACCAAGTTCATTTCTGAGCTGGGAATAAAAATGCACAGACAGTTGCTTGAAACAGAGATAAAAAATTATTTTTGAGAGCACAACATGCAAAGTCAGCTGTTGGATGTGGCCACACCTTCAATTTCCCTGGGATGGGAGCCCTTTATATAGAGAAGCCCTGTTTCTGTTCTTTCAGAAGATGTGAAGGAATTCTTAGAAATTGCACTTAGCTGGAGTTCCAAGAGGGAGCGCTCTGAAGTCAGACACTCCACTGAGTTGTGGTTTCCTTCAATCAGGCATCCTGTTGAACTGTGGTATTTGCCTGTCTAACACTGCTTGATTGGAATTCTCTTCAGGGAAGAGATCTTTTGTTGCTCAGTTTAGGAGATCTTTCGGCTAAGTTCAAGGAACGTTAACTCTTCCTGCCACATTTTAATATTTTGTGTGAGCCCATTCTAATTGTAAATTTTAACCTTTTGCCTTGATTGAGGGAGGAAAACTATGGTGGGAAACAGCAAAGAGGAAAACAGTATGGCGGGGAGAGGGCTTGATTTCCTTCTCACACAGGAAAGCTGTGCCTAGACACTAACCGTATTATATTTATTTTATTATGAACTAGATGGTTAATATGGGCATTTAGCACTGATCTATCTGTCTCTGATTTTTTTGTTTTGTTTTTGGCTTTCACATGACCACAAAATACTTTTTCCTATTGTAGAAAGTATTGTCCTATAACATACCACAAATAATTTAGTCTCATAATTAATTTCCAATTTAATATTTACCAGGAAGTTAAGAGAGAAACTGAATCTAAAGAAGATGGCTTGCCAGTCAAAAGAGAAAGGCATGGAAATGTGGCCAACCTTGTTCAGCGTATGAGTACTTATGGGCTTCCAACTGGAGCATTCCAGCCTCATTCCCAGGGTAAAGGCTTCAGAAGAAGTATGTATTGTATTTGATTTCTACAGTACTTTTTTTCTATTTTTTTTCCCTGAGGTCACAGAGGAATAGAAAGAGGCTTAATTTGATCTTTATTAGGTTGGAAAAAGTATTATCGTGTTTTTGAATTTATTCATAAAGTGGGAAATTTGAAAGCTCTGCTTACAGAAACTCTTTAAATATTCATAAGTTGCAAAAACAAACAAGTCAGAATGACGTATCTATTTCTTTCCTGTCTTCTAGGAAAAACAAATGGGATGTTTCTTTTACAGGGTACTCTGAACTTGTATTATCCTTTGCTAAGGGTAGGTTCTGAGTAGTAATAGCAGCATAATATGAAACATTCCAGTCAGTCTCCAGGTGTCTAGTAAAACTGCCGATCTGTTGAAATGAAGTTTTTTTGCAAACTATTATAAGAAATGTGGAGTCCTTGGTGCTCTGAGCTTGGTTGTTTGCTTGCAGACATTTCATTACCTAACTATGTAACATCGTCAGTGAGTGTGGGGTTGGTTCCCTGTTTATATACAGTAGTCACCTTGCCAGTTTTGGTGGGGGTGTTGTTTCCTCCTTTGTAGTTTCCTTGATTAGGGTATTGTTTTCTGCCTGATTGTTTGTATGAAGCTAATTCTTGCTTATCTGGGTGTTGGCTGCTGAAGAGGATGTGTTCTGGTCTTTTTGTTTCCTT